GTTGTACATATTTGCCTGAAGGCCCTCCAACCTCCCCCAACTTTTCCAAAACAGAAAGCATTTTGTCTTCTCCAAACCTGTTCCAATACCTGTGTCCTCATTGTGTTACCATCCACCCACTGTCTACAAAGTCACCTTCTTGTTCACCTCAGCAGTGCCTCTCTATTTTGGCCCTCATGCTCTCTGTCACTGCCTTCACTGCCTTTATTCAGACCCTTTCTTGGAACATAGACAGTCTCCTAACCAGGTCATCTCCCACATACCCTCCACTCACTAATCCTTCATGCACAGTATTGCCAGAGTAAAATCAAAATGCAAAACTGATAGTCTTAATCAGTTTGTTAAGTACCTTGTTTTGAACTCACCATTCCCCTGCTCACTGAGTTTTATCACAGCTCTGTGCACTTCCTTCATCCTCCTCTGTTGCCCTCACTAGTTCATCTGATCCCTTCCTGCACACCCTAAGCAGAGTTCACTTGTCTGACCCTCTGTGCTCTCTGTGGTACAATACCACCTGAAGTAACTTGTGTAACACTGGGTTGCATGGGACCCCTTTGCAGATCTGTCTTCTCCCAGGCTTGTCTGGGAGTGGCTCAAGATCAGGGTAGTAGCTAGTGCCTTTATAGCTGAGTGTCTGACCCATGGTGGATACCAGGAAATGCTGGACACATTAATGACCACTGGTTCTTCAGCCCAGCCCTACCCTCTTGTCACCCTTCATGGAAGTCTCTGGGAGTAAAGGATGTCATTTGAGCTTCTCTCAGGGTGGTAAGTGTCATATCAGGAGAAAGAGGAGAGAGAAATAAAAGGTTATAGGCACTGCCCAAAATTCTCACTGTATAGGTACAGTCCACCCCAGGGAACAAACATTGGTATGAACTGGAATGTAGGAAATTATGGGGTGTTTACTCACCCTGTCTCTAGCTTGCTTTATACCATCATAGGTGCTGTCCTCCCATCTGTAGAAAAAACTAGTCAACATGCAGTCATTTCTGACTCATGGTGACCCTGTGTGTGTCAGAGTAGAACTGTGTTCCACAGGGTTGTCAGTGGCTCAGTTTTTGCAAGTGGATCACTAGGCCTTTCTTCTGAGGCACTTCGGGCAGACTCAAATTGCCAATTTTTTGGTTAGTAGCTGAGTGCTGTAACTTTTTACCACCCAAGAACTCCATCTATAGAAAACCCTGCCTTTAAACACAGCTAGCTTTCTCCTCCTCCTCCTCTTCCTCCTCCTATTCCCCTCCTCTCTCCCTTCTCATTCTTTTCTCCTCCTTCCTTTCCTCTCCTCTTCTTCCTGACTAAACACTCCCACCCTTGGAGTTGGATGAGGGCCAGGATCACTGTTCCCACTTCTTAGGTGAAGAACTAAGTCCAGAAAGAGTATAGTGTGCCATGTTGGATTACACAGCAATTTCACATTTTTTCACCACATCAAAGATTCTGCTTCTAGGTATGGCTGGCATCTCTCTCTCTCTACCAACTCCACAGCACCTTCCTACATAATCAAAGTCTCTTTTCAAATTTACAGTTTCTGACAGGGATGGAGTATCTTGTAAGCAAGGGAAGCACAGAACTTACTTGTGCTTACTTAATAATTGTAGAAGCTCTGGTAGCATAGTGCTTAAGGCATTTGACTGCTAACTAGAAGGCTGATGGATCAAACTCACCAGCCACTCCTCAGAAGGAAGGTTGGGGAATCTACTTCCGTAGTGATATCACTTTGGAAACCCAAGGAAGGGTCGCTATGAGTCAGATCCGACTCGGTGGCAGTGTGTTTGGTTTGGTTTTGGTTTGGGATAATTTGTAGTGAACAGTTTCATTACATACGGTTCACTGCACTTTAGTAAGTGTGTATGTGTGTAAGCACAAATACGTCCATGTTTACCTTGCTTATTGGATAATCCTGACAGTGAGTCAGGGTGAGGAATAAGACCAGAGGGTCCTACTGCCATGCAGGGGAGTGTGGAGGCACCTGGAAGCCCCTTTTATTTTATTATTTTATTTTATTTTATTTTGATTTCGGTGAAGATTTACAGAGCAAATTCACTTTCCATACAGCAGTTCACATATACTTTGTCTCATGTCATTGACCACAGTTTACCACAATGCAACAGCTCCCCTCCCACTTCCTCCCCATAGTTACCTCTTCCTAGTATCCATCTCTCCATACTCTCCTGCCACCTGAGCTGTCTCCCTGTGCATAAGCAGCCCTTCCTTCTCCCATGATTGTTCTCTCCAGGGCATGTGTCTACTTGAGGTAAATGTTTAATTCACATGCCTGTACCTTGTTTGGCTGGAAACCACAGGTGTGGGTTCAATTCCAGACCTGAAGGGCAGCTAGGGGCCATAGTCTCAGTGGTTCCATCATGGAAGCCCCTTTTAGAGAAGGCTTTGGGAAGGAGAGAGAACTGAGGAAGGGCAGTGCTCCAGCTTGTCAGTGAGGGAGCAGTCCTCAACTTTAAGATGGGGGACAAGAGGACTCTGGACAGCAGGAGTGTGGGCCAAAGCCAGGAACTCTTCAAGGGCAGACTCTGGTCCCTTCCTTGGTAGGGGAAGGAAGCAGTTATATATAAACCATGGAAATATCTGGTTATTTCTCTTACATCAGGTAGAGGGAGGGTGAGCCCAGTTGCTGAGAGGGTGGGAGGTGTTGATGGAGCAAGATCCAGGGAAGAGAAGCCTGAGGTAGTGATGGCACCTAGATGGTGCCCCCTTTGCCTGTAGAGCTTCTTGGGACCCACAAACCAGTTGCCATGGAATTGATTCCAACTCATGGCAATCCTATAAGTGTCAGAATAGAACTGTGTTCCATAGAGTTTTCAGTGTTTGTGATCTTTTAGAAGTAAAATGCCAGGCACTTCTGCAGAGGTTTTTCTTCCAAGGTGCCTCTGGGAGGATTTGAACTTCCAACCTTGTGGTTAGTAGCTGAGTGCTTACCCATTCACACCACCCAGGGACTCTGCCTAGGACCCAGGTCAGTGCAAACACAGGAGGAGATGGTGATCTGTGATGGGCTTGTACTCAATGCCCCAGTTGAAGAGCCGCTCACTCCCTAGCCCCTAAGAATCTCCTCAGTTCCCCAAGTCTCTAGAGTGTTTGGGCCTATCATAGATGCATCTGACATGGAAATCATAAGCTTCAAACTGAATTGGGGTAGCCCTCACCTCCTTTGGTGACAGAGGGGATGGAGACATACAGAGTCCCAGGAGTGGCTCTGCCAGGGTGAAAATGTCAGTAGCAAATGTGAAGAAGCGAAGTGGGGACCTGGGGAGCCAAGAGACAGATGAGTAGCAAACTTGGGGGACACTCAGGAGGCACACCCCTGCCCACCACTTGATTTGGTTCCCAGTATCTCTGGGTTTCTGACAGTAGCTGGTGAGGTGTCAGAAAAGGAGAAGTGGGCTGGTGCCCCATTGTAGACACTGGTTCCAGCATGCATCCCTTGTCCTCCAGACCTGCCGCCTTCTGCCTAACTTTGTCTTTCTCTCTGTCTCCCACCCCTACATCAACACTGCTCCTTGTGGCCTTCCTCCTGGTGGATGGGGGATGCTCCTGGGCCTTGGCCTCCATTCTTGAGATTTTTTTACCACGTGAGTGAGCATCCCTGTTCCAGTATGAGCTGGCTGAACTAAGTAGATTAAACTCCATCTGGAACTGGGGACAATTTTGTTTCCTGTCATCACTGGATACTGGAGGCCAAGAACCAGTCCTAGCCCCTTCTGTCGTGTCCAACTTTGAGGGGTGTGTGTTGGGGGAGGTGTTCATTCTTCTGAAGTGATTCAGGCTAGGAACACAAAGGGCTTAGGAAGTGCATGTTTGGGGCTTCCTGGTATCTCAGTAGCTCTTTGGAAGTCTTGACGGCTATTCCTCTATTCTTCTCCCCCATCCACCCAGATTAAAGAAACTTCTTAGTTTCCAGAATAAGGATAGGAGATTGGAGTAGAAAATTCAGACTAAGTCTGCACTGATATTTTTAGGGATTTGTCATAAAGGGGGTTAGTTACCAGTCAAAGAGTGTTCCCTGTGGACAGTAGGGCCCATCCTACCCCTCTTTTAAAAAAAAAAAAAAGATGCATACCAGATACACATCTTGGGCATGGGGGACCCAGGCCAGGGCGTGGGCCAGCCTTGTGGTCTCAGACACTAACCACAGGCACACTGAAAAGAACAGAGAGGGGTCAAGGTGGGCAAGATGACTTTGTTGCTGGGGGAGAGCTGGGGGAGCTCTGGTGACTCTAGGGCCCCTTGCCTTCACATGAGGTCTGTTCTAGTGGGCTACCACCTAGCCCGCCACCACCACTACATTTGGGGGTGCTTGGGGCTGATGAGGGCCATGGGTGGGAGCCTGAGCCAAACCAGGAGTCTGGATGGATGGAGGAGATAGCTTCCAAGGCTGAAGAGCCCCCAAGTTTTCCCCCAGCACCTTGGGCAGGACCTCAAAGGATTGCAGAGTGGAGCAAGGGTCAGAGAGGAGCAGGAGCTTCCTCCCCTCCCCCAGGAAAATAGTTTTGCCTTTAAGGGCTTCCCAAGGGCTCTATGGAAGGACAGTGCCCTATGGGGAGGAGACTGCTGAACAGCTTCCACTGTCTCCAGAGTTGCGCTTTGCATGGGGTGCTCACCTGGAATCCCACTGGATCAGGAGACAATGATTTGCTTTTCCTTAGAACAGCCAAAGCAGGCTTGCATTTCCAAAAGAAACTTTATTAGGACAAAGTGGATATCATCATAGAAAATATAGCTGACCAATTTCTAAAGCAAGATTTCGGCTTTTACAGTAATTATGCTCTGGCTCCCAAGACTGGGCAGCTGTGCAGGCTTTTGATGAGTTCCCACGGCTCCCTGCCTGTCATGTCACCTTCTGGCATCGTGCTCCTTCCTACCCCCCAGGAATGACATCCTGGACATGCTGACCCCTGTGCAAGTCCAAGACACTTTCTCTCCCTGCCACCCTCCTTCTTCCTGCCAGTGCTCCTGGTCTGTAGATGCCCTTGTCTGGTTGGTTAGGGCACATTGTGCTGGCCACAGTCCGGAGAGTGGCCTGGCCACTGCTTCCCTGCAGCAGACCCCCAGGCCTTCATCTTCAGTGTGGCCTCCGCCTTCCTAGTGGCTTGCGGGCACCGGGCAGAGGGCGGGTACTTCTTGTTGAAAGAGCCCCGCCAGCAACTGGTGAGGCCCAGCAGGGCTTGGGTCTGGCGGAGGAAGCTGGGGCTGGAGAAGCAGTACAGCACGGGATCCAGAACGCTGTTGAGGTAGGTGAAGGCCAGGGAGCCATGGAAGAGCTGTGAGCAGGTGTTGAAGGTGCGACAGGCATGCAGCTGGAAGGCCACCACGGTCATAATGCCAAAGATGATGCTGGGCAGGAAGCAGATGGTGTAGACTGCCACAACTACAGCCAGCACATGCATGGCCCTCCGCGGGCCCGCCTGCCCACCCAGACCACGCCGCCGAATGGTCCGCCACATGCTCACGACTGCAAAGAGGATGAGCACCAGTGTCAGGAAGAACTTCAGCATGAACAGTGCCTCGTGCCAGTGCTGTAAGGGCGAGGAGTCTGTGCCCAGTTGGTAGCTGAGGCAGGTGCTGCTGGAATTCATGGGCAGGAGCAAGTGCCCATTGAGGAGCAGTATGCCCCCCCAGAGCCCCCCAGCCACCCAGGCAGCTGCTCCCACTGAGGCCTGGCTCAGCACATGGTGGGGTTGCACCACCTTCAGGTAGCGATTGAGTGCTATGGCCGTGAGGAAGACGACACTGGCCGTGCGGTTGGTGGATATCATGAAGAGGTTGATTTGGCAGACACTGGTGCCAAAGCGCCACTTCTCTTGCAGCAAATAATAGTCCACACGAAGGGGCAGGTTGATGACCAGGAGAAGGTCGGCAATGACTAGGCAAACCAGAAACACTACATTGGATGTCCAAGGCTGCGTGTGGAAGCAGAAGATGAAGAATGCTAAGCCGTTCCCCACCAGGCCCAGGGCAAATTCCACGCCCAACATTGGAGCCAGGAAGGCATCCAGTGTGGGAGAATGGTCCAGGGAGCAGCTTTCTACTTGTGACTCCAACACAGTGGCGAAGGTTGAGGGAGAGAAGGAGGGAGGGAAAGAAGAGAAGGGAGGGAAAGAAGGAAGGGGAGCCCACAAGCTCAGGTTCTGCGATTCCATGGCCTGTTCTTTCTGGGGCTGAGGGAAGAAGTTTACGGAGTCCTTCTACCCCAGCCTGAGTGTCCAGGGCAGAGTGGACAAGCACTTTCTATCAACTGGCCGGCCCCCGTGATGCAACATCCTGGTGTTTTCATCACCATTGAATGTTTCTATTTGCAGGAAGCCTGTAACCACCCCTTCCTTTTTTTCCCCTCCCTGGTGCTGGAGTAACCTCCACAGAAGTCCTTGAGTCCAGCCTAAGCATTGGAATCTGCACTGCCCTGACAGAAGGGGAAGTACAGCTGAGGTGGTGGCCCAGAGAAGCCCTGGTGTGGAAGGAAAGATTGGGGAGGGCGGGGAGGGGAAGGATGAGGTGAATGGGGGAGAGTATTTGCAGCCCTGTGTGCTCCTGCACTTTGATTTGGCAGGCTGAAGGCAAGTGGTGACTAATGGCTGGCCAGATTATGCAGACCTCCCTGGACTCCCTTGCCTCTATCATGTATACTGTCTACTGGCCACCTCACTGCTCCCACCAGCTCAGGCAGCAGTGACTGCGGATTCAGGGCTAACAGGACCTCAGGGCCTCATAGGAGCAAGACCTATTTGTACTCAACCACTAAGGCCCTAAGGAGCCCTGGTGGCACAATGGTTAAGCACTCTGCTGCTAACCAAAAGGTTGGCAGTTTGAACCCACCTGGTGGCTCTGAGGGAGAAAAGACCTGGTGATCTGATCCCATAAAGATTATAACCTAGGAAACTCTATGGAGTAGTTCTGTTCTGTTCTGTCATATAGGGTCACTATGATTCTGAATCAACTGCACACAACAATAAGGGGTCTGTGTCCACAAGCCTGATGTAGATCAGCTTTCATTTGTTCCCAGATTCCAGATGATTCCAAAGTCTGTGATGGTCCCTAGATCCTTGTACATGATGTTCATCTCACAGGCAGAGGTCTCTCCTATCAAGTTTTTATTGCCACTATCTGGGGGACCGGAGGCTTCTTCCCAGGAGAGAACACTCCTGAGAGTCCTCGTCTTTCCCCACTGAGACTCCTTGTCCACCCCACTCTGTACCCACCCCTCATTCATTACAGAGTGGGAATGGGAGCCTGGGGCTGGCTCCAGACAAGTCACTGTTGTTGTTATATGCCGTTGAGTCGGCCCCGACTCATAGCGACCCCTCCTTGGGTTTCCGAGGCAGTATCACTACGGAAGTAGGATTGCCCAACCTTCCTTCCGAGGAGTGGCTGGTGGGTTTGAACCGCCAGCCTTCTGGTTAGCAGTCAAGTGCCTTAGACACTATGCTACCAGAGACAAGTCACTAGTCCTACTCTGTCACTGGATGGTGCTGTTGTAGCCTCTGGGCAAAGAGGCGATCCCAGGGCCTCAGGCTCTTCCTGAGTGGGAACATCAGGCCCCAGGGAAGCTGTGCTTCCAGTCTCCCGGCCCTGATACTATCCTCCCCTTCCATCATCTGTTGGCTGTGGTCTGCAGTGCCATATGCTGCCAACTCTGCCTGGACCTCCATGGTTCAGGCCCAGTGGCCCCTGCCCCTCTCACCTGGATCCTCCAGGCCCCTCCTCTGTCCTGGGTTCCTGACAAGGTAGAGGGCAGACAGGCGGCCTCCTCAGGAGAAGCAGTGTGGGGAGACCACCAGCATGAGCTTGAACAAAGGTGAGGTTGGAAACAATTGCCTGCTTCCCAAACCTCCCAAGTCTCAGCTATGAATGGAGCAGTTGCATCTTCCTGAAGAGCTGTGAGTGTTAAATAGTAAGTTATGTGAAAGCTTCTAGTGAATTAGGGCACAGAGCATGTATTCAGAAAAATGCAAGATCTAATTTTCATTATTTTCTGTCTGGGGATTAGGCCTGCCCTTGAATACAGGTGAGGAGATCTGGTGGCATACTGATTAAAGCATTCTGCCGCTAACCAAAAAAGTCAGTACTTTGAACCCACTAGCAGCTCCTGTGGGAAAAAGATGAGGCAGTCTACTTCCAAAAAAATTTACAGTCTTAGAAACAGTACGGGACAGTTTTATTCTGTCCTATAGGGTGAGAATCGAGTCTATGGCACTGGGTTTAATTTTTGGTTTTGGCTATAGGGACAGGCTCCTTTTCTTGCAGCAACCTGAATCCTGCCAGGGGGTCTCCTGACACACCTGTGTTCTATTCTTAGCTTCTGCCCAGAACAGTACATCACACTGCCCACCCCTCTGCCCTCAGCTGCCTTGGACTATTTATGAGTTTGGGAGAGGCTGGGGGTGTTTTTCCCTTGTTTGTAGGAGAGAAAAAAGCCCTTAGGGGTAGAGAGGTAGGTGAAGGTCCCAACATCTCTCATGACCGGAAGCCCATTTCACAGCATCAGGCTCTCTGCCCATCAGTGGAGCTTATCAAAGCAGGAAGCTGCCTGGGTGGGGTGGGTGGAAGGAAGTGGGTTCAGACCTCAAGTTTTCTTTTCCTGAGGAAGCTTTGGTTCCAAGAGGGGGTCCTGCTCCATTCGATCCCGTTTTAGTTACTCTTGCAACCCCTCATTGAATTTTCACCGCAGCCCAAAGGAAATACAGCCCAGACCATCCACTGCACACTCCATGTACTCTGCCACTTCTGGGACTGCCAGTGTTTCTTCAGCTCCAGGGTCCCCCCCAACCCAGGCCCAGGGAACCTCCTGAGTCTTAGCATAGTATGCATAGCAGGGAAGCATACGGAAGGGTGAAACCAGCCCCCCACCAGCAGGTCCCCAGTACAGCCATGTGCCCTGCTTTAGGTTGATTACCATCTTCAGACATTCAGAGTGGTTGGATCTGGGTGGGGGGATTTTGTGGTTTTCTGCATTTCTACATTTTCTACAATTAGCACATCTGTTATTGGAAAAATCTCAATAGATGCTATTTTTAAAAAGTTACATAAAAGAGAATAAATGGGAACAGAGAAATAAGCAGAGATGATGTCAGCCCCCAAGACATGTGGCTCCCTGGTCACATGGTGATGAATTCCTGTCTACAAGCAGGGACACCCAACAATGTCCATAGTTACACTATCCCGACGCCCTCAGCACACAAACACTGCAGGCCACAAGCATTTGTTCCTCAGGAAGTCTTTATTGCAGCCCTTCTTGGTGGCTGGTGTGTGTGGAGCCTGTGGGGCAGAGGGGTGGCTGCAGCCCTGTCTCAGGGAGCAGAGCATCCAGTTGGACAGGGAGAATATGTAAACCCATGAGGGCTATTGGAGGAGAAGGAAGGGAGTATGGGCCCCCAGGATCCTGGCATCCAGCCAGGAGAATAGCAGGAAGGTGGATGGCAGTGGTGTCCAAGGCCCGGCCTCCATTTGGAGGTGGACGGGTTCTACATAGGAACACACAGAAGCAGTGGGGGCTGGAAGAGTTACTTGGCAAGGGTGGAGCGCACACCAGTCATAAACGGGGGGTGATCACACATCCCAGGGCTGCTTCAGGCTCACAGCAAGAGAGTTACCCCAGGGTCTTCTTGTGGGTGGGATCCTGGGTCACAGATAGGCCCACAGAGCCTTGTGCTCGCTCCCATGCATACCTGTGGAAACACAGGAGCAGGTTTTAAGCAAGGCTAGGCCCCGGGGATCCCACAGTTGGGAGATATCCTCTCTGTGTGCAGGAGGCAGGTCCTAAGGGTTACTCACGAAGTCTCAGCTGGCACCAGGAGGCTATCATCAGGGGTCATGGTTAGGTGCTGTCCTCCCATCATCACCACAGAAGAGCCCTCCTATAAAGAGAAGAATCAAATGGATGCTGTAGGCCTCCATGCCTGTCTGAGTGTCACTGCATCTGCCTTTGCACAGAGGCCCTGGGAGCATGCATATGCTACAGAAGCCCAAGTCTCAGGTGCAGCCCAACCCCTGTGGACAGGATGTGGTGGGGCCCCTGCCTCCTCTCTCCTGGGGCCACACTTGCCAGCTGCCACAGCCACACGTCCACATCCTGTCTCAGGCCTTTGCTGCTGCCTTGTCCGTAAGCGACCACCTGTTGGGAAGTGACAGAGATCTTTATTGAGCTTCCTGCCCACACAGGAGATGGCCATAAGCCTGGCCCAAAGACCCTAGGTCTGTATGGGTGGGTGGGGTTTGGAGCACAGCCCATCGTCCTCCTACTGCCTCCCATCACAATAAGTGCTGCCCACATGTGGCTATTTGGTAACGCACATGCAAGCCCCACAAGTACCCCTGCAGATGTGGGCCTCTGATGCTGACCCAGGGGAAGGCATGTCTGCCCAGGCACATCAAGGGCTCATACGTGTGTGTTGTTGTTATGTGCCATCAAGTCGGACTCGACTCATAGCGACCCTTCCTTGGGTTTCCAAGGCAATATCACGACGGAAGTAGACTGCCCAACCTTCCTTCTAAGGAGTGGCTTGTGGGTTTGAACCGCCAGCCTTCTGGTTAGCAGTCAAGTGCCTTAGGCACTACACTACCAGAGCTCCTATCATGTGTAGATACATGAAATACATAGGCTGGCTTCCCAGAGGTTCCCATGGCCCTTCCTTTTTGAGTCTGGTCTCAACAATGGGAAGAAAGGATGGTTGAGAGTGAGACTGAGGCCACTGTGACCTGCTTGAAAAAGTCACTCACTGCCATTGAGTCATTTCTGACTCAGCGACCCCTCCTTGAGTTTCCGAGGTGGTATCTTTGTGGAAGTAGATTGCCCAGTCTTCCGAAGAGTGGGTGATGGGTTTGAGCTGCCAGCCTTGTGGTTAGCACTCAAATGCCTTAGGCACAGCCCCCTAAACCCACAGCTGTCACGCTGGGGCTCTGCGTCACTGGCACAGAGTGGGACTCCATGGATATTTGTTGGCATGAACTGAAGCAGGTAGAAGCAGCAGATCAGGAGGCCAGCTCAGGGCTGAATGAAGTTGCCATGTGGGGTGGGAGGGGCTTTGGGTACCCCCAGCCTGATCTCATAGCCCTGTCTGTGTCAGCCCAGAGTGTCTGCTGGTGCATAAGAGAAGCAGGCTGGGCATCTAGGGGCAGGTCTGTAGCCAGTGAGCCTCCCTCCACAGTGGTGTCTAACTCAAAATACAAGGGCTTTGGCTAGTGGTGAATTTTAAAGTACAAGCGTCCACTAGCCTCTGAGCAAATCTCCTAGCCTCCTCTCTCACCCTCCTGATCCCAATGTGGTACCGAAGGATCTTCTGAAACACCACTCTAAGCCAGTCACTCCTGCTTCAATCCTGTTTTCTCCAGGATAAGTCCTTATGCCTTGCCCAGCCCATAAGACAGGCCAGTACCTGGGCCTTGCCTGCTGCTCCAGAAGTCTGCCTAACACATGCTGCACTTCTCCTACATCTTAGCTCTTACTGGCCTCAGGGCAATTAGCAGGGATAGGCTTTCAAGCCTTTGCTTAGGCTTTTCTCTCACCTAAAATTCACTCTCCACCTCCTTTCCTTTTTTTTTTTTTTTTTGCAAACGCCTAGACTAGCTTTAAAACTCAGACTACCTCCTCCTCCTCTAAAACACACTACCTCCTCCTCCAGGAAGTCTTCCCTGACTCCCCTCCAGGCCCAGTTACTCCTTTTTTCTCCTATGTCTTCCTGTAGCTTCTCTACCAAATAACCTATCACATGATTGTGACAACTGCTGAGCAACCGGCCTGACTCCTTTACAAAACCATATACTCTGAGGCAGTGACTATCTCATTCTCCTACAAAAGCCTGAAAGATGATAGGCACTTGATAAATATTTATTGAATGAAAGAGGCCAGCTTTGTTTGGGTCACTCTCTCCCTGTGTGCCTCTCCACCCAACCCTCACCTCCAAACACCTCTCTCCCTTCCTGCTCCCAAGACTGTGACTGGCCAAAGGGCTCAGAATTCCTGGTGGAGAGAGAAGCACAGACCCTCAGGAGCCTGTCAAGAGATGGGGTAGGCCTGCTTTGGGGGCAAAGAAAGATGCCTGAGACCCTGTATCTCCACAGGATTCCACCACTGCAAAGCTGCCGCTTATTCCCTGAGTCAGGGATGAATGACAGAAGGCCTTATACTCATGTCCTCTACCTCCGTGTGTATATGATTGGTTCTCATTTCCTGGCCTGCTGGTGACACCCTGGGCTGCATTACCTGGGTCTCATATGTGTCCCCGAACAGGCTGAGAGGTGTGCTGGACTGCAGCTCCCGGCGGTGGCCATCCAACCAAGCCTCCAGGGATATGGGCTCCATGACAGGCCGTGTGCTCAGGGGGAATGGTGGCTCCTTGAGCAGTTGGTCTGCACCCATGGCAGGGCTGTGGTCAGTGTCCTCTGGGCATAGCCCACCCACTAGGCCAAGTACCTCGGGGCCCCAGCTCTCAATCATCAGAGCAGGCTCTGGATCCAGCTCAATGATCAAGCAGCTGTATAGGAAGGGCTATTTGGGGCTGTTTTCTCAGTACTTAGAGTACTGGGCAGAATACTCAAAAAGAGACTCTGATACCCTGGGCCAAGACATATCCCACTCTGGGAGAGGAGGAAGGAGAGAGAAAGGGGGTTCCCAGAGGCCTCACCAGGGATGGGCTTTCCTGTTCTGTACTGCTCAGAGCTGAAGAACCTGTAGGGACACATGGGGAAGAAGACAGGTGGCTGGCTTTTCTATTTGACTGGCCAGCAAAGCACACACATATACACATACTTATTCTCACATCTCAGGCCCAGGAGCCAATTTCTTGTATACCCATCATCCTTTCCCTTCTGGCCCCATGGAGCAGGCCCTCACCCTTCCCCACTGGGGTGGCCAGCCTGGGGCCTCCCTCCATGGGGGAGCAGACATTCTCCCTAATTCCCAAGCATGGTGACTCCAGGCTGGCAGATGCTGAAGGAAGCACCGCTGAGAGGAGCCTGCCCTCCCCACCAACAGGGTGGCCCGTGGGGAGCGAGTGGAAGGGTTGGGTGCATGCTCACTCCTGAATAATGGGAGCCAACTGTGTGCCAAGGTCCTTGCAGTAGAACCACTTCTCAAACAGGACATCCATGGTGTCTCCCACGTAGTATCTGGCAGAACAGAAGACAGACAACCGAGCTCCTGACCTGGGTGGCCTGGGCCAGCCTCCCTCAGGCCTGGCTCAGCTCGTGGACTTCTGGGCTTGGCCCTGCAGAACAGCCCTGCCTGCTTTATCCCCGCCAGCTGCACATCATGGTTAATCCCCGCTCAACTGCAGTCTCTTCCAAAAGGACGCATTTGCCCCCAAGGTGTGTGTGTGGGGTATTACTGACCACATTCACACAATTCCCATTTACAAAGCAGATGGGACTCTGAGGCTTTATGAACCTGGGGAATTTAGCAGGGATTATACATCCTGTAAGAGGTAGAACCAGGCTAGACTCAAGCCAGTCATAGGACCTTGTTAATGTTAGCTACCATCAAGTTGGCCCCTGACTCATGGCGACCCCATGTACAATGGAACAAAATGCTACCCAGTCCTGAGCCATCCCCATGGTCGCTTGGGGATCAGACTGTTTTTATTCATAGGATTTGCAAGTAGATAGCTAGGCTTTCTTTCTAGTCTGCCTTAGTCTGGGAGCTCCGCTAAAACCTGTTTGGCATCATAGCAACATACAAGTCCCCACTAACAGAAGAGTGGTAGCTGTGCTGAGGTGCACTGGCTGGGAAGCAAATCTGGGTCTCCTGCGTACAGGGCAAGAATTCTACCACTGAACTACCACGTCTTTAAGCCTTTAGAGAGCATCTAATCCAAGTATCTTCAATTTTACCAGAGAAGCTGAGGCTGTGCCTGAATCCTAGCCTCATGAGTCTAGGGCCAGAGGCTGAATGCCGCATCTGCCTGCTGGCCTTATGACAGAACTGTAAGGAACCAATATGTGGAAGACTTTCCCCAAAAGAGAGATTTTCCTTTCAGTGTCATGGATGCCTGTAAGAACTGGAGTAAACGCTCAGGGCCTCCTTTCTGGAGGAAAGCACATGTGCATGCACACACAGACTGTTGCAGAACCCCTGAAGCCCCCCCTGGACTCAGCACGGTGTGGCACACTCCTCTGCTGGCCTGAGGAGGGCCTGGCAGACGGGCTGTGTCTTAGGCCTGTGTATGCAGCACAAAGCAGGTGCCCAGAGTTTCTGTTAACTGATTGCCTAATTCCAACCTGCTCTGTCTGCTCTTCACCTCATACCTCAAAAGAAAAGTAGTCATGCTTATGGGAGAAGGTTTAAAGACACACAGTGCATCTGCCCTGTTTGAGACCCTAAATTCTATCCTGGCATGGAAGCCTTCATAACTGGACTGCAGTGCCTTGTGGGAATTGCCCTTGGAGTGGCATTTTAATGTTGAGAGTCCCTGGCATTTATTAAAGGTCAAAAGCAGCCAGATGAAATCTGTTATTGAATTTTCTGTAAAATGATATGAGGACACTGTCCTCCCCATCACTAAAGACTCCCTATATAAACCTCTATGTGAAAAATCCCTTTTAGAATTTAGGGTAGGGTGTCTGTCTCTACAATAGAGTCTGATGCAGTAGATTATTACCAGCCATTACAACTGTAGTGTTTGAAAAGTAATTAATAGTAGGAGAAACATCAGATTTTTGTAAGTAAAAAGGCAACATTCTGCAATGAGATACCACTCGACCCTCATTTGGATGGCTATTAACCAAAAAACAGAAAGTAACAAGTGTTGGAGAAGATGGGGATAAATCGAAACCTTCACCATTGCTGGTGGAAATGTAAAAAGTTGAAGATCCTGGGGAAAACAGCATGGTGACTCCTCAAAAAGTTAAACAATTACCATTAAAAAAAAAACCCTAAAAACTAAAATTACCATAAAACCAAACCAAACTCACTGCCCAGTAATTCTACTCCTAAGTATATAGCCAACAGAATTGAAAACAGGGACTCAGATGCTTGTGAACCAATGTCCCTTGCAGCATTATTCACAATAGCCAAAAGGTAGAAACAACTCAAGTGTCCACCAACAAATGAATGGATAAACTAATTGTGACAAATCCATACAATGGAATACAGCCATAAAGAAAAATGGAGTTCTAATATATGCTATAATATGGATGAACCTTGAAAATACTATGTTGAGTGAAATAAGGCAGTCACAAAAGGACAAATACTATACGATCCCACTTATAAAAAATCTCTCTCTCTGCCCCAGCCCCCGAACCCCACCCCGGGGGCCCATTTACCTGAGCCCATCTAGCTCAGTTGGCAGCCGCCTCCGCTCAATCACCAGCCCCACAGTGTTGGCAAACCTCTGTGGTGAGTGGGGGACTCCCGCAGGCAGAAGAAATATCTGCAGTGGAGGGGACAAGGTTCCTAGCAAGGCTGTGATCCCTCCTCCCAGAGACGTCAATGTTCCACAGCTCCCTGGACATCCCCAGTTGACCCAAAGGACCTGGGGAGACCACTGCTTGTTCACAAAGACCAGTCTCTCTGGCTGCGCTGAGGACAGGACAGCCTAGAGGAGAGGGTCCAGGAGGATGCGGGCATGGGCAGGCCAGGAGAATAGGAAAAGGCACAGGACATGACATCAGCCATGTGTACAAGTGAACAAGGTGGGTTCCTTTTCTGGCTGTCCCTCATCCCCTGCCCTGGGCCCAGTCTCACCTCTCCCTGTCGAATGACCACGTCTCGGTGTTTGCCTTGCTCTATGACTCGGAGAACCATGTTGCCTTCCAACTGGTAAAACACCTGTGGGACAGCAGTGAGGCTTGGACCCTCCCCACTCCTGCCAGGCCCCTGATCACTGCTCAGGCTTTGAACTCTAAGAAGGCCTGAGAATTTATCAGCAGTTCTGGTGCTCCTGCTCTGGGGCCCTGTCTTCCCCACTCAGGCCACAACTAGGAGTGCTGGGGACAGGGGATCACGATGCCAACATGCAAGTGATGATCACAGTACCCACTGCAGCAGTTGGTATTGGGGAACCTCATCTATAACACCACAGGATCTACTTCATTTACTGAAGACCTACTGGGTGCTGACCTACCATGTACCAGGAGCTATGCCTTACACTTTTGAATACATTATCAATAATCTTTATAATAACCTGCAAAGTAGTATTAGCCTCATTTGGCAGAAAATAAAAAAAGGAAACGGAGACTCAGAGAGTAAAGCAACTTGCTCAGGGTCACACAGCTACTTAGTACTGGAGGTGGGACCCAATCTGTGTGTGACTCTGGATCTGTGGTTGTTCCTGGCTAGGGTGATGCTCTGGCTTGGGTTGGGGCTGGGCCTCTCAAAATCGTTTAGGAGCCCGCCTGGGTGTACATGGTTGACTCGATGCTAGAAGCCTGGGGCAGTTTGAGGGCTATGGAGGTGGGAGCGTTCCCCTCCTGCTATCTCCAGGAGGTCCCCTACTATATTTTCCCTGTTTTCTAAATCCTTCAAACAGTGTTTACTGAGATCACCCCATGAAGTTGGTAGGAGGTGGCAGACACATTTTTTTCTCCATGTCATACACTGAATGGGTATGAAAAGCCCCAGCCAAACAGCTGAAAACCAAAAACCACTCCTGTCGAGTCAATTCCAACTCACAGTGACACTATAGGACAGAGTGGAACTGCCTCATAGGGTTTCTAGGGCTGTAAATCTTTACAGAAGCAGACTGTCTCATCTTTCTCCTGCAGAGCAACTAGTGGGTTCAAAGCACCAACCTTTTGGTTAGCATTTGAATGCTTAACCATTGCCCCACCAGAGCTCCTAAATAGTTGAAGGGACAATTGTTATATTAAATATTATTTATTTATTATAATATACTAAGTATTTATTATGAAAAAAAAAAGTCTCACTGCCATCAAGTCATTTCAGACTCATAGTGACCCCCATTTCGGTTTCCGAGGCCGTAAATGTTTATGGAAGTAGATTGCCCTGTCGTCCTTCTGTGGAGCAGCTGGTGGTTTTGAACCGTTGACCTTTTGGTTAACAGTCAAGTGCCTTATCACTACACCACCAGAAAATAGTTATTATAATTATTAATAATTAGTGTTATCATGTAAGGAGTTAGAGGAGATAGACGTTCTTGTCACTAAGAGAAATCAGCCCGAGTTCAGGGAAACAGAAGTGCAATTCAACACAACCCCTTCAGCAAGGAGAAGCCTTCATAGTTCACACCCTTGTAGGTGACCACATACAGGACTGGGGGGTTTCCTGGGACAAGAGATTTTCAGTGTTAAAATCAGGAAAGTCCTGGGCAAACCAGGACATCCTACACCCTTGACCTAGAAATTCTACCTCTAGGGATGTGGCCTCAGAGAATCAGAAATATTCCTAGTGAGGGGCATACAAGGCTGTCTGTTGCAGTACATGGTAGTTGAAATCATAGATTGCAATGATAGCAGGCCTGGCCCTATGTTCTATGAGGTAATTGTGTGACCTTGGTCAATTCACTTAGCTCTCTGTGTCTCAGATTCCTCATCCATAACACCACAGGATCTACTTCAGAAAGTTGCCGTGAGGGCTGCCTGGCATGCTACATAGCACCTAGCACTCAGTAAACCTCTACCTGTCGGTATTTGTAATAATAAAAAATTGCTAATATAATAATTGGGGAAGTATAAATATTTTATCGTAAATTCAAAACATGGAACATTACACAGGTATTAAAAACTATATTTTTGAAAAACTGTTAATAAAATAGGAAAAGCTGAAGTTATGATGGTAAAGATTCAAAATTATACCCAGCTGGATTCCAATTATGGTGTAATAATGTGTGTAAACTAGGCAAAGTGTTAACAATGGCTCCCCCAGTGGTAGGATTATGGATAAGGTACAGTGTATTTCTTTCTTTTCTATATTTCCCATGTTTTTGTCCACTGAACAATATTTACTTTTATTATTAAAAACAACCCATAAACATTATTTAAAACAAATAAAAAAATAACCTACCAAGCTCCCCTATTGAGCAATCTGGCATGTGCCCCCAAGTCCAGTTGGGAGCGAGCTCCTGTACACAGGGCAGGGGGTGGGGGGATGACTCAGAGTCCTGGGGAGGGGCTGTAGCCCTCAGGCCCTGCAAGTATCAGGCATGTGGATGGGGGAGTCTGGAGCAACGTCTAGGCCAGATTCAAGCCCTTTTCAGGCAGGCTACAAGGTACTGTTGTTGTTGTTGTTGTTATGTGCCGTCGAGTCAGACCTGACTCATAGCGACCCCTCCTTGGGTTTCCGAGGCAGTATCACTACGGAAGTAGGATTGCCCAACCTTCCTTCCGAGGAGTGGCTAGTGGGTTTGAACCGCCAGCCGTCTGGTTAGCAGTCAAGTGTCTAGCCACTGTCAAATACAAGCAAAGGAAGTGGAATTGTCCTCAACGTTGTTGCCCTGCCTGGGGCTTCCCTGTGAGGAGAGGCAGGCTGGCCTTGGAGCAGAGGTGCAGATCACCACACAGCACATGATCCTGAACAGCCGTGAGCAATCCCAAAGGAATTATGCCTGTTTGGAAGTAAATGATGTTTGGGGGCCTGGGGCTAGCTGGAAGATTAACTGTACTGGCTTGGGCAGATATTGAACTGAGTCTGGCCTCGTTGAACCGAGTCTGGCCTCCCAGGGCTTTACAAGTGGGAGCCTCTGGAAAGGGGGTGAGGGTGCAGAGAACCAGTGTATTAAGCATGTACATAGACTCTGTGCATACACTTCATACCCAGCTGAACCCTTCCCATAAGTCTGGGGCCATTGTCGCCATGTGCTGCAAGAAAACATACTCAAGAGCGGTGACAGGATGTGACTTGTCCAAGATCACACAGCTAGTAAGAGGTACAGGCTCCAACAGAGGTCTGACTCCCAAAGTGGAGTAAGTGGTGGGTAGTGCTGAGGATTAGGGGCCTCATACCGAAGGGCTGCTGCTGTTCCTTGCTTAGCAAGGAGGAAAATGTGGCTCAATCAGTAAGAGCCAGATGCACAATGTAAACCCAGGTCTGAGTCATTCACTTTTCAGGAAAAGCCCAGGCTTTGGCTACGTGAGGACAGGCAGAGAAAACAGGGCCTGTGGCAGGTGCTTTCCTTCCCTCCCTTACCTACAAACCAAATCTGGCCAAGTGCTGCCCAGTCAACCTGCATGTCCCTCTAGAGTGAGGACACCTGCCAGGCTGGGGCCCTCTCATCCCTTAGCCACCCAGCTGCGTCAGGGCCGAGCTTGGCCTATGCCCAGAAATAGACACCCACCCCTCAGAGCAGCTTGGACAGACCACAAAATGAAGCACACCGGTGGGGTGAGGAGTAGGGGAGTACAGGGTGAGGAGATGGGGGGAGGACATGAAGGGAAGGAGACTAGGAGAGGTGGACACTGAGACCAGGGCTACCTAGGAGAGTAGACACCTCTGGCCTGAGACTGACTGAGACAGGCAGTAATGACCAAAGGGATAACTGTCTTTCCACTCTGTCTCCCCCATTGTGACCTCTCCCAATCTAGTCCTTTCTTTTGTCTGTAGTTTTGGATTTTCCTGCTGCTATTTTCCACAGAGGTCAGTGGACTTCCAGTGAGGTAGATTTGTGGGAAGGGAGTGACCCAGGAGAGGTGGGGGATCCCTTAAGGCTGCAGTCCCAGGAGCAACCACTGGAGAAGTGAGGGGCTGGCTGTCTACCCTGCTGATACTGCTCTCCTCTGGACCCGCCCCTCACCCCCTCCATGCTGCACTCTCTGGGGGTTCCCAGCACACACAGTACTCAGTGATCATGTGTTGAATGCCCAATGCTCCCTCCAGCCCTCTGCTGGGGCTGAGACACCAGCAGTGGGGGTAGAGACTGGTGACCAAGCCAGACTCTGGACCTTGAACCCCAGAATCAGGGGCCTCCCCAGGATAAGAGGGGATCCTTATAGTGATTCATTTCACCAGAGATTTTGATAGCTCAGAACCCTTCTGTGTCCCTCCTTAAGGGGATCCATCTTTGTCTTATAATTTTACTTTTGTTTATTTACTTTTGGGTAGGTGATACAAAAACAGTTCAAAATTCAAGGTTATCAAAGGGTATTCTGTGTAAATTCCCTTTCCTGCCTGCCTCCCTTAGCTACACAGCTCCCAGCAACTGAAGTGTCTTGTGTGTTAAGGCCCTCTTGATAAGAAGGGGGCCACTCAATCCCAGCCCCAGGCCCCTCTCCCAACCCCACCCCACTCACTAGTCCCTTCCCTCAGCTACCTGCTCCTCCTCCTCCCTCAGCCCAGCCTACCCCCCTCACTCTGTCTTTCTGGACTTTGCCCCTACCCCCCCCCCCACCCCCCCCCCCCCCCCGTTTTCTGGAGAGGAAATTGCCTGGAGAACCTAGCGCCTGAGAGGAAGCTCCAAAGTGAATGGCTGCGTCTCACTTTGGAGGTAAACCTGCTACATTCATATGATGAGAAGAGAAGCCAGAGCGTCTACCTGGAACTTGATCAACAACCCATAACCTAGGGGCTGGCCAATAGTCAGAGCCTCTCATACCACAGAGGCTGGCTACTTCCTGGGCTCCCCCAGCACAGCTCACTGGTTCAGACTCCTTTGAGGATGGGGTTGTAACTGCGCACCCTCCCACTAATTTCCAGGCAGCAGTTCCCCCAGTGGTTTCAGCTGTGCCCTTCACCGCCCCCCCCCCCACATCAGCCATCTGCCCACCCCTCTCCCATCCACAGCTCTGGACTTGGTACACTGGCCTAGGAGCACCTCCACCTCAGAAAGGCGGTCCCACTCCAGGGCCGGGTCAGAGGAACGGCAGTTCACAGACCTACCTCCTCACCCTCCTCAATGTGATAGTCCTTTCGGATGTTGGGGCCCCCGACAAACATGACTTTGAGCTGCTGCTGGTGCCTGCAATAGAGGAGGGAGGAAAGGTCCTGAAGCAGCTCCTGGGAGTGAGGACAGGAAGGGGCTAGGGGCTTGTAGGGGGCATGAAGGGATTCTGGGGACCCTTGCGGAAGGCAGCAGGGCTGTTTAAGCATCACTGTCCCTCTAAGTCTCCTAAAATGTTTGTCTTCCCTCCACTCTCATCCCCTCCATACATCTAAGTGTGTGTGTGTGTCTGTCTGTCTGTGAGTGTGTGTCTAGGTTGCACTCTATGTGTCTATGTGTGTCTCAATGTATTTGTATGTGTGTGTCTTTGTGTGTATGTCCATCTGGGTGCAATGAGTTCCCACAATGGCTGCATAGCCCTTGACCTCTGACAGTAGGGGTAACATCTTGGTGGGGATCTATCTCTTTATCAACCAGGATCCCTGTAATGTGCTCAAGATCTCTAATTACAGGAAGTAAGCTGGAGGTCCCACTTCCCTCTGCCCGGAGCGGGGGTGGGGAGCACAGGGTAAAGTGACCTTTATCTGCTTCCAGAGCTGTCAGTTTATGAGAAACTCCATGCTCCAAAAACCCACAGGTCTGGCTCCACGGACTCAAACCTGTGGTTAAAAACACACAGCTCTGGAATCAGCCTCCTGGGTTCAAATTTGGCTCTGCTATTGACCTTGGGCACATTACTTAACTGTGCTGTGCTTCAGTTTCCTCATCTGTAAAATGGAGAGCCAGTTCTTCACGGGGTTTATATGGGCTGCATGAATTCATATATATAAGTGCTCAAAATAGTGCCTGGTATGAAATATGCACTGTTTAAGTATTTGATAAAATAAATAAAGCCAATGTAACCCTCTCATTTTATAGATGAGGAAATGGGCTCACAAGGGTCACTCAGTCAGGAAATTCGTTGATTTTCCTTCACTTTTGGGAACAGGATTCAACAAGCAAGAAAAACACACACCCAGAATCATGGCCAATGTGTGAAAAGACAGAGGTCACAGGTCACGGGGCAAGGGGAGACTGGTATGGTGTTTTCTGAGTTGGGCTTAAAGCTGTGGAAAAAAGCTGAGAAGTGCTTGGGGGAAGGGAGGGTACAGAGCCCCTGATATTGAAGGTGCTAGGGTCCTGGTAGGAGCTCTGGTAGCATAGTGCCTAAGGCAGTTGACTGCTAACCAGAAGGCTGGCAGTTCAAACCCACCAGCCACTCCTCTGAAGGAAGATGGGGCAATCTACTTCTGTAGTGATACTGCCTCGGAAACCCAAGGAGGGGTCACTGTGAGTCGGGGCCAACTCGAGGGCACATAACAACAACAACAGAATCCTGGTGATACAGGGTGAGAGGCGGGAAAGCCTGGATCAGGGGGTGGGACCAAGTCATCCCAGGCTACATGTTTGTTTTTGGCCTGAGAGATATCAGGGAGCCTTGAAAGGTTCTCCCTTCCTTCTTTCCTTTTTTTCCTCCCCCTCTCTCCTTCCCTTCCATCCTTCCTTCTTCCTTTCTTTTCAAATGAACTTTACTGAGCTATAATTTAGGTACATAGAGAAGGTTCTTGAATAAGCCCATTCAAGTGTTATTTCAACCCCCACCAGTCAGATTATGTCCATCTTCTGCTCAAAATCCTCCAGCCACAGGAAAAGCCACAGTCTCTACTGTGATTTTGTGGCCTCACCAGTCTATGGTCCTGCCATGTCTCCAGCCTCTCATGTCTGCCTGCCTTGTTTGTTTACACTGATTAGCTACCTCCAGCTCCCTGAGGAAGGGATTTTTGTTAATTTTCTCCCCTGCTGTATTCCCAGTGTTCACAACAGTGCCTAGCCCATAGTAGGTGCTCAGTAGACATCTACTGAATGACTAAAGGGAAGGGCCTTGGGTTTTGTGATTACTGATAATGGGGCAGGGCTAGTGGGGGCCCTGGAGGCAGAGGCAGCCAGTACTGCCTAAGCGGGAGGTTTCGAGGTTGGAACCAGCAGTACCCATAGTGCTGGGGGAGATCAGATAGATGTGAGATACGCCCAAGGGGAGAAACTAGAGGGTTGAGAATGAGAGACTGGAGCAGTATAAGAGTGGAGGAAAAAGACAAAGATAAGCATCCAACTTTGAGTTGGGCAAGAAACAGTGATAAAAGAGATGAGGCTTTTGAGGAAATGTTGACCATTAGCCATGGTGGTATTGCACAGTGACCACGAACATGGACTTTAGAGTCAAACTGTTCCAGGGTCTTGCACCATACTAGCTCTGTGACATTGGGCAAGTTGCTTATTAAATTAAATGAGACATCAAGGCAGTTCGCACAGTCTGGCCTGTAGATGTAGTAGAAATCGAACTGTTTTGGGGTGTAACCTCTTGGAGCTGTCCTTTAAGTCTAGCAAACATGAGCCAAGAGCTCACCGGCCCTGCCACAGAGCTGCAGGAAGGGGAGAGGGGTGAAGGGACACAGGGGAAGGCCTAAGAAAGATGGCAGCTGGACCCAGATCAGCCTTGTTGGTTGCATTTGGCAGAGGTGCTTAGGGAAGGCCTGGTGTGAGTGTGTGTGCAAAAGAAGCTGGTCCTTTTATTTTACCCTTTGTCTACAGACCTGGGTTCTACTGTAATTGAGACATTTAAAACCACCCTCAGAAGCCCTGGTGGCACAGTGGCTAGGAGCTCAGTGGCTAACCACAAGTCAGTTATTCAAACCCACCAGGCTCCATGGGAAGAAGATAGGGCAGTCTGCTTCTGTAAAGATTTGTAGCCTTGGGAACCCTATGGGGGCAGTTTCACTCTGTCATATTGGGTTGCTAATAAGTCTGAAGCGACTCAATGGCAAGGGGTTTGGTTTGGAAAACCACTCTTCTCAAACTTTCCAGTTTTCCCAAAGTGCTGGGGCATCTCCTGGGGACAGCTGGTTCTCAGCCCTGAGGGGAGGACGTGAGACCACTCCAGCCATCCGCAGAAGACAAGGTGACAGTTCTCAGAAGAACTGTACAGAGTCACCAGAAAGAGGAACTGATGGAGGGTGGCTGAACCCGGAACAGCCGGTCTTCACCCTATGAAGACACCATGAGAAAGACAGCCCCCTTCCTGCAGGCTTCTCTGTCAAGGAACTCCAGGCTGGAGGTTGAGGATCGAGGATGAATATAGAGGAGGAGGAAGTTGGAAAGAAAGGTGGAAGTTGGAAAGAAAGAGCAGAGGGTGCCTGGCACTCACAGGAGCTTGTTGCAGACTGGGGGCAGGAAGGAGGCCCGGTTTTCTTCCACCCAAGTCTTTACTCTCACCGGACGCTCCATGGCCTCCCGGAGAGCCGTGGTCTTCTCAGAGCAGAGTACTCTCGGGCAGACGAGGAGCTCGGCGCTACGCAGCCCCCTATCGGCTGCCTAGTTAATTATCATCCTGAGGGTCAAAGTGCAAAGCTCTCCGGCAAGACACAGTGATGCCGAGGGTTAGGGTCCCGTGTTTGGTCTAGAGAACGCCCTGCCCTTTGGCCTGTCCTTGCTGAGCACCCTGGACTCGGCGCCTGTGGGGAGGCGGCCATCAGGGTCTGGAGCGCAGTAAGGATCTGCCTTCAAGCGCCCGGGCTGCCCTTCGCAACCCTCCTCCCCCATACTCCGATCTGCCAGCAGGGGCTCAGCTCCCGGGCGAAACCCTACAAGAACCCTCTTCGCATCCTGGGGGCGCCCAACAGCCGCGCGCGAGTTGGGAGCCTGATACCCCACACAAGAAATAGGGTCAAGATCCTTCGTGGTCGCTACTGCTAGATTTTCCGTCTGGGCTCCAGAGAGGCCCCAAAGAAATGCTGTCGTGGAGCGCGCCTGACTATTTGTATGCTGACACCGTATTTAAGCCTCAGTTGCGTCATCTGAAAAATGGGAATGACTACACTCTGGTAGCATAGTGCCTAAGGCACTTGACTGCTAACCAGAAGGCTGCGGTTCAAACCCACCAGCCACTCCTCGGAAGGAAGGTTGGGCAATCTACTTCCGTAGTGATACTGCCTCGGCAACCCAAGGAGGGGTCGCTGTGAGTCGGGGCCGACTCGATGGCCCATAACAACAACAACACAATCATTTCATAGGATTGCTCTACGCACGGAGTGGAAAGAGAATGCAAAGCGATGGCCAAGGTACCCAATGAGTACCTTGTCCTCCCTGGAGGGAGGTGCGGCCAGAGAGTTCAGATTTATTGAGTGCCTGGCGTTCGGCTCTGCCTTTGGCTGGGTAAAGAAAGATTAGGGAAGGGACGCTAGGAAGGGATGTCGGCTCAAGGCCGCGGGAGCCCGGGACATCGCACCGGCACCTCGACTTCGGGTTTGGAGGGCGCGGCGCCGGTCCTCTGCTACCTCTTTGGAAGGAGCCGGAGCCCAGAGCGCGCAGTCAAAGCCGCCAGCCTGGTAGCGAGCACTGACACTGCGCTGAGCCCCTTGCAAGTCTAAGAACACACAAATCACAAAACAGTGCTAGCAGGGAGGGGTCACCAAGGTATTTTACAAATGAAGAAACGGGACACTCATCCTCGATCTAAGATCGAAGGAATCTCGGAGTGACGAACCCGTGAAAATGATTACAGCTCCTTGTGGAAGACACACGCAGTCATCCTAGGGGAGGAAGAGGAGCTCTGGTAGCGTAGTGCCTAAGGCACTTGACTGCTAACCAGAAGGCTGGCGGTTCAAACCCATCAGGTTCAAACCCATCATCAGCCACTCCTAGGAAGGAAGGTTGGGCAATCTACTTCCATAGTGATACTGCCTCGGAAACCCAAGGAGGGGTCACTAAGAGTCATGTCTGACTCAATGGCACATAACAATAACAACAACAGGGAACAGAGACATCTGGGTGTGTAGGTGTGTAATGGAGGAAACAGGAGGGGGAGTAGTAGTCTGCCTTTCTTAACTTTCTTCAGATTCTCAGAAAAATTGTGTCAATGTGTTGGAGGAGGATGGAGTGGGGAGATGGCAGGTGCAGAAGGAAAATACCGACACCAGAGTCCATACTATAGAGTGACTTTTTTTTTTTTGGGGGGGGGGGCGATTTGCCAAGGTCTTTTGCTTTTATTTGGTTCATCAACCATTAAGTGGGGAAGAGAATGGGGATGATGGGACAGAAGGAGGTAGAAGGTGGGGGCACGGGGTAGAGGGAGGTGACACCAGAGGAAGGCAAGGGAAGGCCTGATTTTTGAGCATCAAGGTTCCCAGTAGGGGCAGTTATGGTTCAATGGTAGAATTCTCACTTCCTATACAGGAGTCAGGGCCTCTGGTAGCATAGTGCCTAAGGCACTTGACTGCTAACCAGAAGGTTGGCTGTTCAAACCCACCAACCACTCCTTAGAAGGAAGGTTGGGCAATCTACTTCTGTAGTGATACTGCCTCAGAAACCCAAGGAGGGGTTGCTATGAGTCGAGTCCGACTCAATGGCAAATAACAACAACAACATACAGGAGATCTGCTTTGATTTCTGGCTAATGCACCTCCTGTGCAGATACCCCCGTCTGTCACTGGAAGTCTGCATGTTGCTCTGATGCGGAACAGGCTTCAGCAGCGCTTCCAGACTAAGACAGACTAGGAGGAAGGATCTGATCATTTACTCCTGAAAATCAGCCAACGAAAACCCTATGTATCACAATAGTGGAACGCAACCAATCATGAGGATTGATGCAGGACCAAGCAGTGTTTTGTTCCATTGTGCCTGGGAGTTAGGGGCTAGCATGACAGCAGCTAACAACTACAACAGGTTCCAGCAACTACTCTGGGTATGTATTTTCTCAATTAATCCTTATATCATTCTTCTGTGAGAAGCCAGGATTCCAACCTTGGATGTACACTACAATGTCCAAGAGAGCTTTTAAATTCTACAGTTGCTGACCTCCAACCCAGATCAAGTAAATCTGAATCTCTTGAGATGGGGCCCATGCAACCATGTTTTCTAAACGCTGCCCAGGATTAAAAATATTTTAAACTCCTCCAGCTCTTGCTCTCTCAGCCCATCTTGCTTCCTCTGTGCTGGCTGGGGTGGACCCTTAGACATAGACTACCCTGGTTGAAGTTAAAACCCAGACAGATGCCAAATAGGATTCCTCCCACCTCCTCCAGGACCCTCCTGTCTCTTTGCTCTTTTCTCCATTTTTCTTCTTTGTGATATATTGAGATCATTTTAGTTCGAGCATTTCTTTCTAGAATATTGTTTGGCACCAGAATAACTCAGGCCATGTTCTTCATCTTTCTCATCTACAAGTAATCACAGGAGATGTAAACAATGACACACAAAACACCAAGGAGTCATGATGTATTACGTTTGCTTTGGATGCTTGTTAAATGGATGGATGAGTGAATGGATGGATGAAGACATAATGAATTTACACTAAACGGAAAAAAGATTGATTTCAGCCCAACAGATATTCTGTCACAAAGTACAAAGGAAAAAATGATAGGTATCCTATATTTTAATCAATGTAGTAAAATAATGTGAATAATTGAGATCACAAGTGGAATTTTGGTCTGAGTTATCCAGATTAATTTTCTGCACAGTTTAAACTACTATCACTGTCAAATAGCTCTTTGGTTTGTGTTGTGTAGAAAAAATCCCATGTCTACTCAACTAGCAAGCTACCTAGCACCATTTGAATCTAATGTTCAGAAAACTGACAGTCCCCATTTTATCTGTGTGTTGTTGTTGTTGTTAAGTGCCATCGAGTCGTTTCCGACTCATGCACAGCAGAACGAGACACTGCCCGATCCCGCGCCAGCCCCACAATCCCTGCTATACTTGAGCCCATCATCGCAGCCACCGTATC